AATGCGATTATTTTATGTAGACGTTTTTTTCACTACGGATAAGGAGGCTTATCTCAAAATATGGTGCATTAAATGGTAACTTGATAGCATGAAAATGGGGACCAGGGAAGACTGCTGAGAAGGAGCAGTCTTGACCTGGGGAGCTCATGGCACCATCCTCCACCTGGCAGCTTTCATCTGTTTCCTTGCTGGTTCATCATTCAAATGACTTCTTTTTAAGCACCTACTATGTGCTAAGAGCTGTGGCGCATACACAAATGTATAAGACAAGACCCCACTGTCATAAGGCTCCCATTGCATAAGGCTATTCAAGTAACCTTATTGCTGGAGAAGTCCAGGGGAGGGAGGCTTCCCTCGCGACCGGAAAGGCTTTGTTAGCAGTTCGGCTGAGCCGGGGTCTGCAGAGGGAGGCTGCTGCTTCCTGTAACTACTAACACTTCTTGACGTTGTTTTGCAGATGAGACCACTGCTGAGGAACCAGTTTACACCAACCTGAGCCGCCCAGCTCCCCTTCTGGATAACCAAAAGTGAACCCCGCTCCTTATAATCTCATCATAATGCTCAAGTTTCCGCCCAGAGGTGTTCCGTCGCGCTTCCTTTGAACATGGGGGGCATGTAACAGCATGCGCCTTAAAAGAACATGGCTGTTAGACAATAAACCCCAATTTCCTGCCTTTCCTTTAACTGAATATTCATGACCTGTACTTTGATTTAACAATAACAGGACTCCTTAAACCCTTGTTCTGGGAGAGACTGCTTCGGGAATCCTCCCAGTGTTCTCCTTACCTGCTGCAGGTCCTAAACCTTGTTTCTCTCTTCCATTTCCCTGGTGTGCTTATTGGCTCTGCACTCACCAAGGGGCGAACCCATTGTGTTTGGTTACAGCTTCACAGGGGAAGTGGCATTCATAACCGGACCTAATGAGATGGCATGTTAACAATGGCTGAGGCGCTGGGGTTGTAGACTTGGCTACAGGTCTGCCTCGGGTTCTCGGCGTTTAGGTTGTGTCTAACGACAAGCCATGCAGACTCACTTTCAGACTAAACACATCTATTTCCTTTGTTGTTGCCACCTCCTGGCACCCTTTGGGCCAAAGCAGGAGGAAAGG